AAAGTATAGTTGGGAAGATGAGCTGGGAGAAGAAGATGATTGATCTGGACATTGCTGTGGAACAAGGAGGAAGAAGAGAGGAAAGAGGTGACCCACATAACCATTTGCTGGGGGTTAGGGTAACGCTCAGCCCTGGGAACCACATTGCTCTAAATGCAAACTGAATGAAGCACAGATAACCAAATAAAGGGAGAGACCACCACTTCTGAACTGAATAAGAGCAATACAGGAAAGCAAGAAGAAAATCTAATTTTGGCGATGTGAACTACATCCATTTGACCAGTGGTCCCTTTTGCAGTACCTGCCTCTTTTGTGAGTAAGCAGCCTTCTAAACCAGAGTGTCCAGCTTTAACTCTCTAGAACAGGGCTGAAATAATGGGAGATCATAGCTCTGTATGGGCATATTTAAATGGGGGACAGGACACTGCTTTATTTTTTTTTATTAATTTTCCATTACTTTATATTAGATCTCTTAAATTTTTCAGCTCTGTGAATTTGAGTAAAACAGTTTCACTAGCCACTTTAATTATTTGAAATGGTCCAAATCAGGGAACACTCAGTGCTCTCCTGTTTTAAGTATGTATTGTTAAAGTGGAGACAAGTTATTTGAGAAAACTCTGAAATACCTCCAAGCAGAGTCCTAAGAAGCGAAGGGAAAGGCCCCACTGGAATTACAGTGAGTGCCACTTCCCAATGCAAGAGAAGCAATTGTTTGGCATACTCATCATGTTGATCTTTTGCAGATGGTAATGATTCATACTGTCACTGTGGTAACAATGGTCTGCCGCGCAACGCAACAAAAAGATTAAAAGACAAAGCAAAACACATTTGGCCTAAGATGAAAATACCAATATATTTTTGTATCCAAGAGTCTGTTGTCATGCAGGGTTTTTCATCCAGAAAACACTTTCGTTCAAGATGGTACCACAGTTTCCTGGCAAGAGTCTAATTAATAGACTCCTTTTATGGTAATCTTAAGTTTACAACCTCCTCCAATCAGTCTTTTCCAGATAAATAGATGATAGGAAAAATTCTAAAGCCTACACAGAGTGCTTCTTGCCCATGATATGCAAAGCTCTGGGTATGAACCTCAGTATCTCAAAAAGGACACAAAGTAAAACTCCAAAAACAAATTGATGGTTCAAATATTATGTGATTCAATGAAAACCAAACACTTCATTTGCATCACAGCAATAAATCATTGTGGGGCTGGGAAAGCATTGATTACACATAGGAAAACTTCATAATATATACTCATTCCAGTATGCAGAGATCAATACAGTGAAACCATGAAATTATATTATGAAAGAAATACTCATTTCAGAAAAAAACGTAACCACAGTATTATAAGCAATTTAGAAGACTATATTTTGCTATTTATTCTAATAAAGACAAAGGATGTTCTAATTTGACAAGAATCACTGAGGAGGAGAGAAATTCTAGTATTTCTTAAAAAAAAAATCCTACTAGGAGGAGGTAGATTGGTTTGGGGACTAAGAGCAGACACAATTACTGAGACTGGGCTCTTGTACTCACAGGCTCCAGCATAAAGAGGAATCAATTAGCCCTCAACAGTCTATGACCTTGAAGGCAGCAGCTCTGTGCATAATATGCTGAATATGCTGAGACAGAAGGGAAATGCAAGAGAGAGAATAAAGTCCTGAAATCACTGCAGTGCACGTTTCAGATATGATAATGTCTTTTAGAAGCAGAACTCATGACAGCTGACTTTATGTCAAAGACATGCATGATGACAAGAAAGTCCCAATGCTTTCCCATCTAAACAATACTTTTGAATGTGAAGAGTGCAAGAGATTCCAAAATGACAATCTCATTGTATTTTTTTGCACTCACTTTATTGAATAGTTATGACCTTTTTTAAACAACAAAAATAATCAATCACAAGTCTAAAAACAGAGCTGCCTAGATACTTACCCCAAACAAAAACAAAGACAAAATTTTTCACTTGCAGTTTTAGAATTTTTCAAAATGTGAACCAACTGTACCCTGAACTTTTCAGAGAAAACTACTACGTCCCAGCCTGCTTATCCCCGACGCACTCCAGAATGCTACAGCTGTGCGTCAGCCACTGTGATGCTTTTAGGCAGCAGTAAATCTTTCCCACTTATTGAAAATGCCACAAAATCAATGTCCTGGCTTAGAAAACAAGAAAGAAAAAAATGTATCAAATGTATACTCCATTAAAATACTTAGGAGAATTTCCCTAAAAAATAATTTCTCAAAACTTGACAAATACTTCCTAAGAGTCCTAGATCAAGAAAATGTGCTACATGTTTTTTTTGTTTTATTTCATCAGATGAAAAATAGAAGAGACTTGAGTTGAAGAGTTTTATTTTTTTTTCCCCTTAAAGAATCATCACCTTTTGCTGGGCAACTCAACCCAATCCGGGCATATTTTCATTAAAGATTTAAGTTTAAAATGATAAGGAGGTAACCTTGGTTTCAAAGTGAATTCTCCTTCTCTTTGCAGGATCTGCACTTGCTTTTTATAGCTTGTCATTTCATCTGGGTATTATTTCCCGGTCATTTTGCCAGGTGGGAAGAGGCAGCGAATGCAGCGATGTCTGTCACATCTTTAATGATGCTTTGGGGATTTGATAAAGATACCAATCAGGGTCTGCTTAAAGGAGGTTTTTCTAATTACACTTGGAAAAGACAAACCTCTTTTTAAACCTTTGCTGTTGGAACTGGTATGTGTGAGAAGATAGTGAATCACAAATACATATCAAATTTCCTGCATTTTCATGCCACAGTGGCTACTTTGTACTTAATGTCTGGAGGAGGTATTCTTTATTCCATACTACGGTCTATGGGGAAAATGGAAGCAGTATTTCATCACAGACACTCTACCCTCAAATCCCTTCACCTTTAAGAGAGTTCACATGTGTTATTAAGAACCAGATTCTCTGCTCTTTTTTTTTTTTTTTTGCTTTTATCAATGATAAAAAGTGATGGGAGACACATCAAAAACAAACTAAAAGTGATTTTTAAAGAAAGCTGTAAAAATTTCTCTTCTATATTCAGGTTGGGAACAATACAGCTAATCGGGGTTTCATCCGTGTCAACTTTCCATTATAAAGCTATTGCAGTGACCCACTGAAAATGGCAATGTTCCGTCCTGCACTAGATGTGGAGTCTGTTCACTCACAGGTTATTAAACCAGGCTGCTGCAACCTGAGCCGATAAAGTGACATGTCTGACGAACAAAAAGATGTAACTTACTAATAGACCGTGTACATGTCAATGACTGCTAAAGACATTATTACTCAATTGGAAAAGACAAAACTAACTTGGGAAAATCCCTTTATGCAGAATATGCTTTAAACAAAATAAACTGCCACACCAAGTGTCCAGTCACTGAAAGTACAATATGTGCTGGACTATAACAGTTTCAAGCTAGGGAGAGGTGAGCGCTGTAAATGTCTTAACGCTTGCTGCACTGCCAGGAAGAAACATGGAACACATAAAGGTGGGGAGAGGTGGGGAGAAGTGAGGGAGCAAAGAGATACAGAAAGATAAAAAGCATTGTGGGCTGCTAGGAGGCAGAAGGTAATCAAAAGGCTATAGAAAGTCTCCAATCGGAAACAGGCAGCAAATACGACCTATTGGTATATGCATATCACATTCCTATAATACACAAGGAGTGGTCTGATGTTTTCACTTCTAAAAATGTTAGCGATAAATGTAACAAATTAAAGCATGACTTGCAGATGCTGAAGTTTTGGATTCCCAACCCCTGATTTAACAATCCAGCTAGAGGGAGCTACTCTTAGCAGAAGGCTTCAAAGGAGTAGTTTACAAGGTTTCTAATTTCTCCCTCCTCTCTTCAATGCTACCCCAAGCATCTCGATCACATGATTTACTCAAATAAAACCATGTAATTACAATGAAAGAAAGGAAACAGCTCCACAATCTAGAGAATACCTCTAGGGAGCTGGAACCCACCCTTTCCTTTATTCAGCATGGTTACTCTCTACTTACAAAGTTTAGGAGCAGTTTGGAGATTAGTTTCTGTTGTTTGTGGCTGAGTTGCTGACTTGGGTGTTCTCACCTCAGGGTTCCGAGTGGGTGAAGGGAAGAATGGCGCTGTGGATGGCAGGAGAGAAAAAGCAAAAATACGATTCTTCGGGGTGGGTGCAGCTGTGGGTTCAGAGGATGCAGCAGCATTGTCGCCTTGCACTGTAACTTGAACCTTAGTTTCAGACTGAGCCCTAGAGATAGGTGAAGTGTAAGCCTCCGATGACACCCACACAGCTGAGGCAGCAGTTGGATCCAAAGAAATAATAGGGTCCTGGCCTAAACCCCCAGGGTCAAGGTGAGTGGGAGAGTCATACTCAAATATCTTGTCCACGAATACCCACTTGAGGCCAGCAATGCAGAGACAGAGGCTGACCAGGCAAGCCAGAATAGGGACGATGCAGATTTTCTCTGAGTTGAGGCAACCTCTCAGGCGCTCTGCCTCTAGGTACACACAGCAGGGCACAGCCAGGCCCATGAGTCCAGCGGGGCTCCCGTCTTCAGTCTGGGGCTCTGGCATGTCTTCGGCTGCCGGAAGTCCATTGAGAGATGGGTCTGCACTCAGTTGAGTGGAGGGGCTGGAGGACCTCTCGGCAGCTCCCTCAGACATGTCTGGGGAATAAATCTCCATCGGCTCACCTCCAGGAGGCCTGGCCTCCCTCACGGTCCATTACCATGCAGGGCCCCCCCCAAGCAAATGATACAGCATCTTCCAGAGGGAAATCGGTAAGTCGTCCAAGTCCAAGGCCATTACCAAAAGCAAGGAGTTCACAAGGAAAAAAGAAAACAACAAAAACGGGGAGAAAAAAGCTCCTGGCAACTACAAAATAAAAGTAGATTATAATAATTCTTTAGCTGTTGTTTCGGGGCCACTTTTCCAGTTCTTTTAAAGGCTTCTCCAAACCATCCCGACAGACAAGAAGACAAGATCCAAAATAGAAACAGAACCGAGTGCTGGTTAATTAAGTAAACCAGTAGCCCAAACTGAAAGGCATGTTTCTCACCTCAAGCATCTGAAGCTGGTGTCTGCTTAGATGAAGAAAACAACTGTCATGCAGGAGAAGTAAGAGCAACAGCAGGACCAGGGGCGGCAGCGGCGGGAGCAGCGGCGGCGGCAAGAGAGGCAGCAGCGACAGTAGCAACAGCATCCTGTTGTGTTAACGCGGCGGAAAGAGGCTGAATCATTACAGAGCAGCAGGTGCCTGGCCTCTGAGCATCCCTGCAAACAGGAGCATCGCAGGCGCAGCGCCGGGAAGGAGCGGCGGGCGGGAGGGCGGCGACTCCTTCCCCGCCCTGCCTCGGCCTCACCCCACCCCCAACCACTCCTCTTTGTCCTTCTGGAGTGCTCAAGTCACTTTCTTCCTCTGCTGTCTTCCTTGTCACGGTGCCTCTCTCACTCCTCCCTGCCTCATCCCAAGTCAGTCTCAGGCTCTCTCTCTCTCTGTCTCCCTCTCGCAGGCCCCCTTCTATCCCCTCTCTAAACTGCTGCCGGTCTGAGTAAAATCAGGACTCTGCACCCAGCAACACAGGACTGCCAGTGACTTCCTATGTTATCCAATTAGAAGGAATAAAGGCCATCAAATCAAAGAGAGGCAGGCAGGCACCAGTTAAGCTTGAGCCCCACGGCCCCCACCCCTTGTCCTTTTTTTTTCTTTTCTTTTTTCTTTCTCCATGAAAGCAGCCTCAGTCCTCCACCACCCCCCAACCCCCCAATCTTGCTTGCTTTCAGTCTTGCTGGCTCTCTCTTTACTTCACCCACTGCCGGGTCAGAAAAAGCCAGCGATCGATTCTAGCAATCTAACAAGGCTGGGCTGGGGCGGGGGATGTAGGTGGGACCTTCTGGGTCGGACCTGAGGCTTGGCAAAGTCTGATATCTGATGCCTCCCTAGAGAGGTAAGCTTTGCAACAGCAATTCCTGCCTGCCTGCTGCTCAGAGATACATTCCTTCCCTGCCCTCTACTAAGTTTTGTTCACCAACAGGACTGCTGTTACTTGATTTTCAGCTAACAGTTAGAACATCCTTTCTAACCATGGACAGCTCTGCCTTTCGGCTTTCTGGGATGACTGTCAGATTCCCTCAGGCCCAGCCTCGCAGGCTGAAGTTGCAGGAAGTGGGGAAGGGAGGGAAAAGGACCCCACACAAGTCCCCTTTCTTTAAATTTCCTTGTTTGCCCCCCCCCCCCGCAGACTAGACTAATGTCAAGCTAGAAGAAACACTCTAAGTAACAGAGCTATGAAGGAGCAAAGGTTACTGCTTTTTCATTTTGAAATTAGCCTTGCCTTGTGACTCCATACTGCAGAGGTTTGAATCTCCTGGATGCTGTAATATATACCATGTCCTCAGCTATAACCGCACAGCATGTATTAAGAAGAGTTTTCCGTAAGAGTATGCCATTTGAATTAGGTTTGAGGAGTGATACCTTACAGATAATTTGAATGCTGATTTTATTTTTTCATCTAAGGCAACAGTCAAGAGCCAGAGAAACAGGTTGTCCACAAACGAGAACGCAGGCTGCTTGGAGCATTCTGTTGCATGTCGGTGTACACTGCATGCATCTGAATCCTTAATCCACACTTCACTGTAACTGGACATCCAAATGGTTTCAGAGGAGCCATTCTGTTTACCTTTGTCAATAAGAATCATTAAAACTCCCTTTAAATCAGTACTATATATCCATCACGTGAGTCCCAGAAGCTTTAAAATTCAGAGCTCAAGTCCGAAAAAACCTGCTTTTAAGCACATTGTATTTCATACAGCACAATCTCCACTGCTTTGAAACATGCTTAAGCTTCAAATGGTAGGCCCTAAGAATATTATCATTTCCTTCAAGATGAAATTATTCTATAATTGTAAATGACTTAAGGAGTATTAAAGTCTTAAACTGTGTTTTCAGTACCATCACTAATACCAACAAAAGCCTAAACTAATTTACATAATTGTTACCATGACTATAGAAAGCTTTTGGGCAAAATAAGTTATCCTTTACTTCATTTCCACATAACCTGCATCTACATACCAGTAACCAGTATTTTAAAATAATTCCTATATGTATTTTTTAGTTTTACTTATTTGAATTTGAAGGAATGAAAGCTGTCTTAACAAAGATTCCATGTTTCTGTCTTAACAAAGATTCCAAGACCTGAAATTCCACAGAAATTTTCTATGGGAACATATGTTTCTTAAGATCTTAATTATCAATATGTAAATATTAAAAAATGGTTTAAACAAGTAGAAGTAGATGTTAAAGTAGGGTAATTTTGAATTTCTTCAAACATCATCCAATTTAAGTATATAAGCACTTACCTCTTCAAACCTGCTCTAGACTCTCAAGTCTAATACTTTGATAAATTATCCAAGGCTAAGATCAAAATGGAGTTCAGGTACCCAGAAGTTGAAAAAAGGAGAAGATATTAAAAACCCCCATACTTGAAAAAAATGGTTCTTAACTTACATTAATATCAATCACTCACCTCACTTTAACCATTAAGAGAAAACATACTCATTGGATAAAAATAAAAAAATTAGTGGGGGCCTCTATAACTGTCATATTACAAATCATTAACTCTCACACACACACACAAAATACCAATGTATTTTATGAAGTCCAGCACAAAACATCACAGAATCCTACAATTTCAATAACTGTTCTTTGCCTTGAACTATGCAAATTACACTTCAAGTTATACATATTTCTCTCTGCAAATGAATTTTATGAACTTTGTATAGCACCTTGGTTTTCAGATCAGCTTGTAGACAGTCAGCTTCCTACAAATTGTCTTTCCCACTAAATTGGAAGATGAATGTAATTGGAGAAAGGAGGTAAGACAGGAGGCGAAGAACAAAAGGAATCCCCCACTACTTCTACCTTGGGAGTAGAGCCAGAAGTTACCATTATCCATCCATCAAATCCATCACAGCTATAAGGGTGTGAGGAAGGGTAGTAAGCATGAGGCTAGAGGTCAGACTTCCCTTTGGTTGAACATGTAGTTCTGTATGAATAACAGCAAGGATGTACTATTTTAACTCTCTTAAGTTTCACCCTAACAAAATCCAGGAACACCCATATTGCACACCCTCTTTAAAAACACGAAGAGAGACAAAAGTTTTACTACCTTTTAAAATCTTATATTACTGCCTCCCTTCTAACAATGAAAGCGACCTTATTTCTAATCATTACTAGTCCTATGTAGTCTTTAATACTTTTACAGTAAAGAAATAGTTACTTTGAGAGAGTAAAGTGACTCAGGAAATTTAGCCACAGACTAAAATGGAGCCAAGATTTGCAGAAGGTGTGACTCATGCTATTTCAGCCAAAACCAGTTTTTATCTTTTAATCAAAAGACTACATCTATTATATATATTTATACGTATTAGTTCAGTGTAGAAATAAGAGAACCAGACGGTGCAACAATGATATAGGAATTAGCCAAATATAGTTAACAAATTGAAAATCACTTAGTTCCTAAAATAAGAGCCTCCTAAAATTTTGTCTGGTGACTTTTGGGAGTAAGCTGTAAAGATTAAGCACAGGCCATGTAAATATCATCTATTTATGGTTTAAATCAACTGTGTGCTTCCACAGTATCAGTTGCAAGAGTCTTTGGGGTAAGCTATCTCAAAACGGTTTAAAACAGCAACTGCTGCATCATCTCTCACTAGGCCCTGGGGTCACCAGCTTCAGCTGAGTGGCTGCTCTGCTCCACTGGTGCCAGCTGGGGCTGCAATCAGCTGGATGTGCCATTTGGCTGAACTATTCAAGATGGCTGACAAGTTATGCCTGGCAGCGGAAACCAGGTGGCACCAAATGGTGCACCAGCACAAGGCCTCTCTATGAGACTTGAGCTTCTTGTAGCACAGTGGTGATTTCTAAGAGGAGGATTCCTCTCCAGACAAAGGAAGCACAAGCTGCTAAACTTGCTATGGATTGGACGTGAACAGGGCTTAAACTACTGTACCCTATAAACACAGCTCTAGCACTCCCAGTGGCAGCTTTGACTCAGGGCAGAAGTAATGAGTCCTGATGGACAAAGTTAGGATGTTTTGCTGCCTTGCATAACCCACTATTGGGTAAGGAAGCAAATGATAGTAAGCCACTGGGGCCACCAGGAGACACAGTAATACAGAGCAGAGTTGGCAGACTCAATCCAAACACACTCCTGTTTCTAATCTACTGTCATACATTACAAATTTCTTCCAAGCCAGCTTCAATAAAGAAAATATCTTGTCACAGCAACCAATAAAAGATACCAAAATTCCTCTGCTACTTCAACTCAAGCAAAGCTATATAGTGGTGCATTACCTTTATTTATTTTATTATTCTAAGTATGTAACATAGCTCCAGTGGAAGAAAAGGGATGATAAATGTCATTGGCTTTTTTTTTTAGAAAGTAGTAAAATACAACAGAACAAGACAGAATAAAGCCAACTGAGACCGTGTAGTGAAACTGGTACAGAACTTCACAGCAGGTTACTGGGATAACAGTAATAGGTATCACAGTATATTTCGTTATCTTTGCAATAGTTGTTCTTTCAATCACGTATATCAAAATAAAATGAAATACAGAACATTATAGAGCTTATCAAAACAGAATATTTAATAGAGCCGTACCATTAATCAGAATAAAGCAAAACAGTAATAAAATTGCCTTCAAAGAGATGGTAGAAGGAAATCCCCTTATTTGCTACGGTCAACTTCCCAGGAGATGCTCAGATTTCTGGTTTCCATTTGCTAATGGGGGGGGGGGTGTCAGGGGAAAGGGGTAAGGAAGTGTGATGTTTGACTCTAGGCCATGCACCAGTAGGCTCACTATTGCCTAGCAGGGAGGCAGGCTGTTTGCTTGGTTTCCCAGCACCATAAGTTCCAACATGGTGCAGATCTCAGGAGACACTGGTGTTTCTCCCCCTGGAAGGGCTGCAGCCTGCCACACTATAGCTGCTTACCAGGGAAGTGAGCTGCTTGCTTGGTTTCCCAGGGTCCTAAGTTCCAACATAGCACGGATCTCAGGAGATGCTGGTGGTTCTCCCACTGGAGGAGCCACAGCCTGCCACACCACAGCCACTTACCAGCATGTCACTGGCTTTTAAAGATATATAACAATCATCTCCTTTATCTTCTTTTCCTTTTCTCTTTTATCTTTTTTTCCTCTGCCTTTCTCTCCCTCTCTCTTTTGCTTTTTTTCCTCTTTTCTGTTTCTAAGTTTATCCTTAATTCTAAATTTTACGATTAAAAGAAGTAGAATTTACTTTATAGAATATAGTTTAGAATGATGACAGTGGCAATTTTATTTTTGGAAATAACTATGTAGAAGTGGTAAATAATATGGAACCATGATTTGCACCAGGAAAATAATTTTAAAAGCTCCCTTGGAATATACAGTACCCAAATGGAGTGGATGGACTTTCCCATCCTTCAATAATATCCCCTCAGCCTTTATAAAGCCCTGGCTACTTTTCCCAAACACCTACCCAGCATTTCTTCCCTATACCATTTATTAGGCCATATTTTCATGGAATATGATATTGTCTAATT